TCTCTCTCTCTCTCTCTCTCTCTCTCTCTCTCTCTCTTTTACAGGCACACACATACACTTATGCACACACATACACAACCCTTCAATGGTCTAACCTCCAAAAACACCTTTTTCCTGCTATGGGAAATATCTCTGAATAATTCATCCCTCATCTCACCTTGAACAGTGTGCTTCTGAATAAAAGAGTGTTTTAAAGAGCCTCTCATAGATGCACGCCACAATACACAAACACACACACACACACACACACACACAGACAACCACATTCTGTCTTCCTCTATCACCCTCACGCACACACTCTCGCTGCCTCCTCCTGCTGACAAGCACTGCAGACAAACTAGCGGAGTGGAGGCAGATGAGTTGCTTTGGCAGCCTCAGAATAAGACCGACATAGATGGGTGAGGGCTTGTCACTATCAAACTGCCTCTGTTGAGACACGACATGCTGTCCACATGGCTCAGTCACAACAGCTTAGCGCGGAATACCTCCATATTCAATCTGCCACCATGAGAGGAATTGTCTCTTTCAGCTGAATCAAACTGCATGTCTAGGGGTAGCGTCACACAACAATGGAAGCTGGAGGAGGGGTATGGGGCTTTAATGATGTCCTTGACGCTTTACTTATATGATGTTGTTTGAGCCATAGCTTAGGTAGATCTGGGTTTATGCAAAGCATGTTTTTTCTTATTATGAGTGTTATGTGTTAGGAAAATCTTGGAACCATCTTGAATCAGAAATGCATCTTTTAGTATATGTTTAGTCAAAAAAAAAGAAATCGTCTTGTACGAACTGCAGCACAACCAATGTGAATAGAGTGGGGCACATCTATCATCTTAGAGCACCTAAAAACATTTGACATGTAAGACAGCAGCCTTAAAGTTAGTGATTGTTTTTCAGGTCTGCAATATAAAAAGTGCGTTACTAATGGCTAATTGATTACTAATGATGCTTCGAATTATTTTGCATTATTTATTATACAGCTTCAGGTGCTTCCAGCTTTCTCTTCTCTTATTTAGTGGTGTATAGTTGTTATAAATAAAGTATGTATTTATTTGAATCGGGAATCCAGATTGTTTCCCCTTGTGTCCAGTGTTTGTGCTAAGCTAAGCTAGCCGGCTGCTGGTTGTAGCTTCATATTTACAGTACAAACATCAGAGCGCTGTCAATCTTCTCATTTAACTCTTGATGAGAAAGGGAATCAAATAATCTTCTAAAATATCAGACTATTCCTTTAAGCAGAAACGTTTAATTCTTTCCTCCTACAGTGACAGAGGTAAATAGAAAGGTGCACTCAGTAGAGTGCAGATCTCTGCAAGGTGTGCAATGACCATTGCTGTATTGTATAATTGTAATAATACAACCCACAATTGGCTAACCCAACGTCTAGACACCAGGAGGCTATAAGAGGTCGTAAATCACACTTCAAACTCAAAAACAAGCGGTGATGTATGCAGGCAATCGTCTCAAAGTCGTTGTATAAGACATTTCATACAAATTTGTTGAGCTGTTCGCTGTTAGCTATTTAGACCATATATAAGTGAGCACACTGTCTTCCCCCACTGTGCCTCTGGGCGCAGAGCAGCGGCCGAGGGGTACTCAGCAGGGTGTTTACCGGTAGGCCCGTTAGCTGTTAGCTGATAGCTAAAGACACCGTCCAAAACACTAAAAGTGAGCGCACTCAGCTGTGTTATCACAAGCAGCCCCCTACCGGCCGGGGGGCCGGTTAAGAGTAGTGAGTGAGGAGCCAGCAGACAGTCAATGGCAGTATAAAACATGCAATAATAGGTGTTTTGAGAAAGTGTGGGTCACCGCAACCATGAGACGTCCTTGAGCATGCAGCCATAACTGGCCACCCAAAATATTATGCAGTTTGCTGGAGCACAATGCGAAATTAGCAGTGGACAGACACAGAGGAGCACGCACGCGACCAATTGCATGATCCTCCTGGCGGAGAAAAATAATAATAATCCATCTGTCTATTAAGTGCCATGTAATTTACCTCGTTCCTTGTCATCCTATTAGTCATTCTTTGGTGCTGGAAGTTAAATATATGTGCAAATGTGAAAACAGAGTTAGTCATATTAATATTTGAAATGTTTTCACCCCGCCCCCCACACTTCTTTTCCCATATCCCCCCACCCTCAGCATAACCTATGTCCCAGCCCATCAGGTGGATCAGTACCGTACCCGTCTGTGTTTACCCCCTCTGGACTCCATCGCAGCAGACAGCGCCTCATCCTCACCCACCCCGCCAACCCCTTCTCCGGAGCCTGCCTCGGCCCCGGCCAGGTCTCCTGGTCCGGTCAGAGCCACGGCTCCGACTGCGACTCCGGCTCCGTCCGCCATCAAACCTGTCGCCTCGGTCAACTTCAAAGCCGCAGCTCCAGATCCTGCAGCAGTCACAGCCACCGCTTCATCCAAAGCTCCATTCAAAGGCCCAGCCGCAGTCCCTACCATCACCCCGGCCCAAGACTCAAGGTAAGATCCAGAGGTCTCAGACGACTATTTATGGTCACCTAATCCCTACTCAGGGCCCCGGAGTGCAAGGTAAACCCGTCTCAGGGCTCCAGCTTTATTACATGTTGATATGTTTGCTGCAGAGAATTCAGACTATTAACTACATTCTATACAGCCTGTTGTGGGTTCTATGTCTTAACCTTTGGCTTTTGATTTCTATCGCAGCCAGGGTTTTTTTTTCACACATTTTCGTAACCCAGCAGCCTAATTGACACTAATGATCTGAGTTATTATCTGACACATTAATTAGCCGTATCCAACAATGTGTTTCCGTGTGCAGCCGGCTCAGCGGGAGAATCTTCCAGTCCGTATTTTTCCCGTCTCCATTCTCCTCTGTGGTGAAGGCAAAAATCCTCCTCTGAATGTTGAATCTCTGAGTTATATTTAGCCGTTCGCTTATGGATCTCCGTGCTGACTGTCAGCTAAAATGAATTGTTTCGCTTCTGTCTGTTGCCGCTTTCTCTCCGTTCTTGCCTCTGCCTTTCTCCCTCCTCGCTCTCTCCCATTTCTCTCCGCAGCCTTTTTTTTTTTCAGCCCCTCATCTCGCAATACGTCGTCTTCTTCTCTCTCTCTGCTACACTTCTGCCTCGACTCTTTGTGTCTACATCCGTCTCTCATCTCTGGTCTATTTTTCTCTTCACCTCATTTTCCCTCTCCTCCCCTGCCTTGTTACTATCCCCCTCTCCTGGCCGCTCTCTTTTTCAGCCCTGGTGGAACCATTTGTTCTGCCCTCTTCTGTAACTTAACTGGCTATAGGCTCCCGCTGCGCAGATAGCACCACTATCACTCACCTCCGTGGGCTTATTACAGCCCTCCACCGTTAAATATATTCATGAAAAATGCTCTCCTTCTCTACCTCCTTCTTTCACACACACACACACACACACACATATATATATATAGTGTGTATATATAGAGATAGTCATACACATTTATTTATTTATATACACACACACACACACACACACACACACACACACACACACACACACACA